TGATCTGACGGTACGGTAAACCGTACTGTACTGTGAACAGACGTGTCCATATATTTGGGCGTAGCTCTCTTGTTGGATATACCACGCATGAGTTCGGAGCTAATATACAGAGGGTTAGGGATAAAATAGGTATGGCCATTTAAATGGCCTCCTCCGCTATGGGCTGCTAATAGAAATAAGGATGGATATGTGGCCCTGATCGCCGTTTAAACTTCCAATTAATTAGTACACGTTTTTCATCAGGTCACGTGATATAACGTCATAATACTATTATTGAAGTAATATTTGACATGAAATGAATGAGTTCAAACGCAACACGATGACAGCAACACTTGAAATATAAACATTCTGGAAACTTATAAATAAACGTTCATATAAATAGTGGGTTCCGGCGAACAGTTCTTCTTGAAGTACTTAAACCTAAATACGCATCAACTTACATCCACATTGTGAATATACATAATAAGAACATTTGTCAAGCAATAATCAATAATAAGCAATAATTTTCTTGAAAGTTGCGCAAGTTCAATCTGGTAAAATCAGGGAAACAGTTATTTTCCAAAATCATGATTTGATTTATTAAATGTATTTCTAGTTTATTCAATGAAACGTGTAATATTGGCCTAGTTTCGTGATTTCCGGCGTTGAGGTAAACTTCACGTTACAAAAATAATATTTCCTGGTAAATTATAAATACCTGCTTCTCCTTTAATACGCTTTTGGGTGGAAAAGTACATTCGATCAAAGCACGCTATTTTCAAAATTCACGATCTTTTTTCCAAATGTTTTTTAAGTGCATATAAAAGTGCAATATAGGTGTATTTTCGTGATTTCCGACGAATAATTAACTTCGCGTACCAAAATATTATTTCACCTTAAATTATAAATACGCGTGTCCGGTCCAGAAAGGGCTATTGAGCTGCCACATATAGACAGTAAGTTTTGGAAAGGGAAATATATATGGTCTCAAACCCTAATCAACATTTGAAACGCCTCCAAGATTCCCCCAATCTGTGAGTATACTATACATGGGATTCACTCGGTCACATGATATAACTTCATAATTACTTATCAATATTTAGATCGGTAAGTATGTTGATAGGTATTTGTCTGTTTGTCTGTCTGTTTGTCTGTTAGATGCACGCAATATCTCACGAAGGCGTGGTTGAATCTGCTCCAAAGTTTGCATGTGCATTCATCATATCTCGGACCAGAAGCCTATTGATTTTGGATGAATTATGTCGTATAATTAGCGAGGTATTAATTAATTAGTGATGAGACACGCGGTGTCACTATGGAGTCATGAATTGAAACCGCAGTTTCGATCGATAAGTCTTCGGTCTCCGACCGATATTCTCGTTTTAAAGGTTACTGCAGGTCATATGTGACATGTTCTGAATGCATTGAAGTTCATCAGGTTCGTAGGGAGGCATAACGGAATCGTATTTATGAACATACGATGTCAGAGTTCAACGAGTTAAGTCAATATTATCTGGAACAGGCTATTTGCAAAACTCAACATCTATTTTCTAAATATTTTGTAAGTGTATTTGTGATAAAGTCTATTTTCGTGGATTTTCGACGAATTGTTAAACTTCGCATAACCAAGACACTATTTCGAGTTAAATTATAAATACGTGTATAAAATTTCCACATATATATTATGTTAGGCATAAGGAAGAATATGTGGTTCCAGTCAAAATTTGAAAGGCCTCCAAGATTCCCTCAATCCTTTAGTGTACACGGTATTCACCAGATCACGTGATATAACGTCACAATTTTAAAAGTTAAAATAGGTTATATGTGACATGTTATGAATGCATTGAAGCTCACCAGGGGACAGCTCTCTCTCCCGCGCGGTGGGGGGGGGGGGAGGGATAACGTTATCGTATTTAGGAACACACGGTGTCAGAGATCAAGGAGATAACTCAATATTATCAGGAACTGGCCTCTTTTCGAAAATCACGATCTCTTTTCCAAATGTGCGCCAGAAAGTGCCGATTGACACGAAACCTAAAACAGCTAGGAAAACAGTTATTTTTGAAAGTCACGATATAGTTTACTGAATTCCTCGCTAAAGTATCTGATATCAGTTTTCGTGATTTCCGGCGCAGAAATAAACTTCACGTAACCCACGCAATGCATTATCCATTAAATGCCGATTCGCGTGATACTCAGGAGCACATCAGGTTAGTGAGAACAAGAATTAGTTATTTTCGGAGTTCACGATCTAGCTTTGTTATTTCATTACTAATTAAGGTATCTGAAATAAGTTAACGTGATTCCTGTTCGAGAATACACTTCACGTTACCAAAACAATGTTTCTCATTAAAATACGCGTTTTCGCTATAATTAAAATTTCCACGTAGAAAGTGTAAATAAAACTGCTAATTAATTTTAACGATTGCGATTTAAAATGAACCGATTGAATAGACTGGTCATTTTAATAGTATTTAAGTAGCTCATTGTCACGAATTGTTTAAATTTCAACTGCTATCTTCAATGCCAGTTGTTTCAACCTTGAGTCCAAAAAAAACACACACGTTTAGATTTTAGTGTATATTGTGCAATTATACTGAGTTTTGAAAAAGTAACGCCAAATAACAGTTAAGTTAAGATGAAATGCTACTTAAAACATTCAACGACTGACACTTTTTAACAGTATTGAATTACGGCGAAATGCCATTTGAACATTCCACGACTGACGCTTTTTAAGAGTTACTTTTCTAACGTTGCCACGACAAAAAATTTTACCTTCATTTTGCGTAACTTTACTAACACCCTGTATATATAAAGGAATAAACTTCAAGACAGACATGGTAATATACTAATTGGTAGGCTTAACAAAAATAGCAATACTGGAAACCTCGTTAATCAGTGACAGAAAAAAAACAAGATGACGGTGATTCGAAAGCCCCGTCTGATATGATTCGATTAAACTATTGCCCATTCATATAGTGAAAGGAGACCTTAAGAACAGTCTGTATAGCGGTCTGTATTTTCTAGAGTATATTTTGAACGATAGAAAAGAAAGTGCTCGATTTTCGGCAATAGAATTTTAAATTGAAAGAGCTCAAAAATTTAACACGTCGCTGCTCGATAACCAATTTTTTTTTCCCGCGGCTTTCCTTCTACAGTAAAAATGTGTGTTCCATTTTATTTTTCCGTATGTTATTTTTTACTGGACGAAAAAAATAAACTTAACTATGACGCCCGCGGAGAATGTCAACAGCTCACATGTTACTTATCGATTTTAATCGGTATGTATGTTGATAGGTATTTGTCCGTCTGTCTGTTAGATGCACGCGATATCTCACGAAAGCAAGATTGAATCTGCTGCAGATTTTGCATGTGCATTCATCATATGTCGGACCAGAAGCCTATTGATTTTAGATGAATTATGTCGTATAATTATCGAGTTATTAATTGATTAGTGATGGGACACAATGTGTCACTATGGAGTAACAGCTTTGTTTTGGGGGCTTATTTTCGATCGATAAGTATTCGGTCTCTGACAAATATTCTCGTTTTCACTTTGAGACCAATAAAACACACACGTTAAGATCTTTGCGTATATTGTGCAATTATACATAAATCAATAAACTTTTAAACGAAACATATTAAAATACTGGTTGGGTAGGCTCATTATGAATAAAAATACTTAACTTTATAAATCAGTAACAGAGCTATCAAACTAATCAAATCGAATATTCATTTTTGGGTAACCCCCGTAGTGTGTGCACCAGGTTAGGGTGAGGCCATAATTTTCCGATTTTAGTTCTATAACGAGTTCGGGGACTGTCTGTGTTAGCCAAGTGAATTCACCCCCTGCCTATAGGTTTTAACACAACTTGATGTAAAGTAAGCGAACAAAATTAGTTGCTTCCATATTGGCACACACACACTTCTGGAGCGCAGTTTTTTGGATTCTATTCCATTAGAATCAAAATCGAATGATTATATTCGAAAATTATTGAAGCCAGGTAAAAACAATTCATTAATACGAATAGACGTTTTTAAAATTTAAATTGGCGGTATTTATAAAAATAAAGTACAATACAGCAAAAAGAAGTTTGGTGTAACAAGTGGGATGAACAATATTTAACCGAAGGTAGCTACTCGAATACGAGTGGAACGCCACGTTCGAAAATAAAATAAAAAGTCAAAAACAATAAAAGAACCAATGATAAATGTGCAAAATTGGAACAAAATTGAAGTGAAAAGTGAAAAAATGTTTTAATTTTTAGAACAATAATATTCAATAAATGTGCCCTCTGTGACTACACAAGGCACCATAGGATGATTGTGCAATGGTTAGATATTAACAACAAAGATGGAAATTGTGTTTGACTGCTCTGTATGGGAAAGATTCTGAAATTCAAACATGACTTTATAAAGACATTATAAAAATATGATCAAATATTAAACAAAACTATGATTGTGATAATAACAAAATAAAAAAATTTGAAAACTAATAAATACTTGAATGAAGTGAATTCGCGTTACGTAGGGACTTAGCACAATGTCTGGGTATAAAAGGAAAATTAATGTACAGCGCGACCAAAATACAGAACACATGGATTTCTTAACGATCGAAGATATCGGGTCACTAACCCTAGTAGACCCAGGATATAGTGAAGGAGGTAAAATTGAAGTGTTTAAAGCAGCGGTGTGCAACATGCGACCTGGGGGCCATAACCCGGCCCGCCAAGACAGTTAGTGTGGCTCTTGTCAACACCAAGATTTTGCCAATTAAGCATAAAATCCTAACCTGACAGTTTATGTGAAAAAAAGAGCTAACATGAGTAAAAAGACGTCTTGAAAGATTTTTTTCTCTTGTCGCCGTGTTTAATATTTCGCCGTTTTGACCCGAGAAATTTTTAATTCGTTGCGTACATCGAAAAACTAATTTTTTTGTGTGGCCGAGCTTGATGTATGAAGTTGCTTGCATGGCCCACCGACAAAAAATGTCGCACAGCCTCGACAAAAAATGTCGCACAGCCTGGGTCAAAGGGTTAGGTTTTACCATATTTGCGCCGCAAGGTCGAGATATCGCATTATCAGGCATACAGACCCGCTTAGAGTTTATTCAAAGGGGGAAGAAATTATGGGGGTAGAAAAGATTGCTTATCTATAAACTTGTTCTCAGAAGAGAAAGCCTCATAAAAACATAATTCATATAATTCAGTAATAAGTGTTTCTTAAAAAAGCAATACTTGCTCCAATTTTGAAGATTTAAACGAATACTCTGTAAGCTGAAATATATAAATTGCCGTGCTCATTCATCCACAATGGTTGCTGATGTCATAATGGTAGCATCTGCCGCAAGTGTTTCGTCATCATCAACTTTAAGACCGTTCAAATGGACCTGGAATTGAAATTTTAGAATTAATAATTCGGAGCACTAAGAATAAAGTTGCTACTTTTTGCCACTGGCAAGCAAGAAATACTATTTTTGGCGCGGCGGTGTGACTCAACGGGCTAAGCGTTAGGAATACGCTCGCCACCGCACTTCTAATTAACCTGCGTGGGTTCGCAGGTTCGAATCCCATGCAGGGATGGTTATGTGCGAGAGAATTGCTGGACTCCTCGCCGCCGTAGGGTGGTTCACGTAACCGCTGGTCGGTTACGGCTTCCTCCACCACCAAGTCCATGCTTCCGAAAACAAACAATATCAACTAATCCCATACCCGACTTGGAATGGTAACCGGACGAGAGGCCGTGGTTCGCGATATGGATAAGCCGTCTTATCGTCTTATTTTCCTTTCCCCCGGGATAAATATGTAAAATCCTATCCTATCCTTGAGGTCCAGAACCTGATCTTTTGTACAAATCCCCCGCAATTAATGCAAAACGTAAGATTTGAGAAAAACACGCTTTTAAATAAAAAATCAGTAATTATCCAGTTAGCGCAGTGGTTCCCAACCTGGTTGGAACATTTTTCTTATGGATACAGTTTTGATGGATTTGGGGTTAGGTTTCAGGTTTAAGTAGATATAATTCCGCACGGTGCACTAAAATCTGGTACACGACTTTGTGAATATACCGGTAAAAGCGCCATAACCACGGCAAGAGCTGCCATCGGTACGTTCGTGGCAGCAGCTGTCATGAAGTGGTAAGAACCTCACCTTCTCTTTGCCGCTTATTTTATTGTTAAATATAGAAAGTGAGGCAGGGGGTCACGAGGTATTTGTAAACCACCAAAGGCGGTCGCGAGCCAAAAAAGGTTGGGAAACACTGAGTTAGGGTTAGTGTTAGGAATGATTTGAAAATTTGAATTTTCAAGAATATCTGTATTTTTAACCCTAACTGGATAATTACTAATTTTACAAAAGATCCCAAGTATATTTCGGGTTCGGCATTTTCTACCCTAATTTATTGAACCCTAGAAGAGGTGGTTGGCATGGGTTCACACTCAGGTCATGCCTGAACCCCTCAACTCTGCTCAGAGGCGGAACGACGAGTTCCTTAGCGATCTATACTTTACATAAGTTTTCCGCTTTGAGCCTATACAGTGATACCTTGATAGTCAAAAGATTAGATACTCTAACAATTCGATAGGCGACTAAAAAATTTCCGAGTTTTTCACTGTTTTCGCACGGTATTTGGTGGTTTTTGCACTATTTTGCAAGGTTTTTGGTGATTTTTCAAGGTTTTTCATTGTTTTTGCTCGTTTTTGCAAAGTTTTTGGTCGTTTTGACGGTTTTTGCAAGATTATTGGTAGGTTTTGACCATTTTTGCAGGGTTTTCCACGGTTTATTACTGTTTTTGCACAATTTTTCAAATACCCGAACGGAAATCCATAATACTCGAGCGTGCCACCGAATGAGATGACGTCACCCAAACCGCGCATCTCGGCTGCCTCTAAACCAGGGTCGGCCAACCTTCTTGGCCGACGGGCCACATTTAGTTTACCAATAATTGCGCGGGCCGCTTAACATGGTAACTATGTTCTAGTTTCGCTACACTAACTAAAAGTTATCTGTGCAAAAACTTGCTTGTACAAGTAAGTGCTGCCAAATAATGAGGTCATTAAAACTGCCATTCTGCCCAAGTGTGTAAGCGACTATTTATGTATCGATATCTTCCAGTTGGTTCCGATTCCAAATGACACTCATGGCTCGTTTGAAAGGGCTAGCAGAGCGCATTTCAGGAAAATGAACAAATTGTTTGTATCAAACTTCATATTAACTACATCACTCGAAAAATATAAGTTTTACTTTTTAATTATTAAATTAAAATAATTTTTTATTATTTGATTCCGAAAATACAGCGCGGGCCACACAAAACTTCTCGACGGGCCACGGGTTGGATGACCCTGGACTAGACCATTCAACACGAGAGCGATGCTCAAATATATCGACACGAAGGCTAAAACAAAGTATGGGTATGCAATCTACCACAGTAGACTATCGGTGCCGCAATCTTAACCACTAACTCAAAAATTCGAAAGCGGAACCCTCACAAGGTGCGCAATTTTTGATGACGTCATCGTACATGAGAAACGAACCTCGTAGAACCAACCAACCAAAAAAAAAAAATTCAGACGGTTTATTCGTTTTTATCCTTTTTTTGTTTAATCTTCATTACGTACACATTTAAATAATCATTGTTGTTTAGGTACATATTTTGGGTATTTTGGAATGCGTGAGAACGTATTAAAGTGATTCAAGAGTCTTTCTGCACACTAACACAAATATATTTCTGTAACGTTTCGTCTGACGTTACAGAAATATATTTGTGTTAGTGTGCAGCAAGACTATTGAATCACTTAGGATTGTTATCTTTACTCTTGCTACAGCATCCTTGCATTATATGCATACGGATCTACCGACACAAAAGCATAGAAAAAGGATAGATAGTTAGTCTCGCAGAAACCAAATTATTAGCTAAAATTATTACCATTGTTTTTTATGGGAAATAGGTTTCGGTAATCTAACAAATCGGCGCTCCAGAAGTATGTGTACCAATATGGAGGTAACTAATTTTGTTCGCTTAATTTACATCAAGTTGTATAAAGAGACTGAGACCTATGGACATGGGGTATATTTACTTGGCTAAAACAGACAGTCACGTAACAGACTCGTAATAGAACTAAAATAAGGAAAATCGAAATAAAATTATGGCATAACCCTAACCTGGTACACATCCTAGGGGAGTACCAATAAATCGGCAGTCGAACACCAATCCGGAAGTATAGAGGTATCACTGTAATATATATCAAACTCACCGTGGCTTCGTCCCTGTTACTCCTCCCTCCATTCTTTCTGCTCGTTAGATTCTTCAACTGACTTGACATCCATGTTGTTGACTGCTGAACTCTTTGCTGCGGGTATAAAAGTGAAATTATGTTAATAAATGTACCATATTGTACGAAGCATGAGGCGCACTTTGAATCCTTTTTTTCAAATCGATCGTGCGCGCCTTATATACCGGTGCGTATAATGTATGATGAGGTAGTGCTGTATGCTTTATTGCCTCTACACTTGAAACCCTCACTGATATTCCTTTAAATCGTTTCGTCTCCAGTATGGTTAAACCTTCCACTCGTATTACAGCATGCGCCATGACCCCCAGCGTAGCCCAAAAGGCCCCCGTTTGAGAAGTAAAAAAAATCTGTATCAAACATAGCAATTTTCCGGGCGTTCCCGTAGTATGTGCACCAGGTTAGGGTTAGGCCATAATTTTATTCCAATTTTCTTTATTTTAGTTCTAATACGAGTTCGGGGACTAGTCAAGTGACTCAAGTGTATTTGTACCTGAAATTATGGCCTAACCCTAACCTGGTACACATACTACGGGAGTACCATTTTTCGTGGCTTGAACCGCTTTAACACCCTCAAGATTCTTGAACGCCAACAATCTCGGAACACATAAAGACATTCTCATAGAATTCGGCTCCTTACTCGAACTAAAATTACTGAGATCAAACATCGAACTAGCACCGAATCGTATTATAAACGTGTCACTGGCTACAAGAGTCTATTATTATTATTATTATTATAAGTTATTGCGCTTTTAATTACCAAGATTATATGCGCCAGACTGAAAGGAATTTTCTAGAAAAAACAGGTCGACATAAGTCGAACACAATACAAGAGTCTATAACAGTGGTTCCAAACCTTATATTACAAGGTTATAACTAGGTCGCGCTCGCATGCCTATGTCGCAAAAAACTTTGGTTAAGTAAATTACGCCGTACTATTATTCTAAGATAAAACCCGTATTCTTAATAATTGACCGCGTGAAACATCATGCAATGATTACGCGTGAGAATTGTGACTACAATTTTAATATGTTTTTTAATGCTTCTACCTACAGTTATACGGGGGGTGCTTGATTGCCGCTTTTTTTGGAGCGTGTCTTACTATGCGAATATAGTCATAAGTTGGTAAAATTGCTCCAGGTGAGGCTCGAACTCACAACCTCCGCATCACTCCGTAACTGTTATATAAGTACGCAACCGATTGCGCCACTGGAGCTGGCGAGAAAAATAGTGTTTACAAATGATTTGCATATTGGTACAAAAACGATTCGGATCCACCGATATAGAAGTGGTTAACAATCTTACCTTAAAGTTATACAAGAAGAAGGAATTCAAAATCGGATTCAAGGCACTGTTGAAGAAGGCAAGGCAGAATGTCACGTCACGAGTTACATGACATGCCGCGTCACTTGACATATTGACGCCATTAATTTGAAGCAAGTGGAATAAATGGTATGGCATCCAGCATATTGCGAAGGCGGCAATCAGGCATGGGACCTGTAAATGAAATAGAAATAATATTAAACCAAATTACTTAACGAAGATATAACTACAAAACAAAATCTGGTTGTTGTTATGTGCGGTGTATGCGTGTATGTGAAATAGGTGTGTGTTTGTATCATGTGTGTGTGTGTGTGTGCGGGGGTTGTATATGCGTTTGTGTGTGTGTCTGCATGTGCAACATGCGTGTGCATTTGTGCATCGGGGTTGTATTTGTGTTTAAGAGTGGCGGTTGTGTATAGGTTTAGATGTGTGATTTTTTTGTGCGAGCGTGTGTGTGTGTGTGCGAGAGTTGTGACGAAAGTTATGTATGTGTTTGAGTGTGAGTGTGGGCTCACGTATGTGTCTTTGTGTGTGTGAAACGTATAAACATAATACTCACCAAAACGTTCATCAATATCTTCGCTTTTTGATTGGTCACTTTCGTTATATTTGTTGGTTCCGATTGATTGATCAGCTGAAATACAGGACATAAAAACTTCATGGTTCCAAGTTTTACAGAAGAACAGAATAATTGAAAAATCAAACAATCGAAGAGATCGGGGTTTCCCAATAGATAAATCAAAAACTCAACAGTTAATTTGTATATATAATTAGCGGAAACGGAGAAGTTGGAAATAAGTAACTCGCATTAAAAAAGTAATATTCATCGAGTAAATCTACATGATTGTCGGCTTCAGTGGCGCAATCGGTTAGCGCGCCGTGCTTATATGACAGCTACGGAGCAATGCGGAGGTTGTGAGTTTGAGCTTCACCTGGAGCAATTTTATATTTTCACACTTGCAACTGGAATTGTAAAAAGTTCTTTTCAATTCAGGTTATGAACATATGAAGATAAAACTACTGACACTTTCAAATATTTTTTTGAATCATGTTCCCGGAAAGCGGATTAAAGGCAACTGAGCATTTGCCTCTAGATTTTTCACCCCGAATCTAATACATCAATGAGTAAATACAAAGAAACACTCGGGGCTTGTTTTAAGGTTTCAGAGTACATATATTCACATAAAATTGTTATATACAAAGTGGCGTATCAACGTAAAATGACGCCTATAGCAAAGTTTAAAAATGCCCACCCTTGATCGATGACTGACCATTTTTTAAAGAGTGTTGTTGAACTGAAATCCATGTACGTTATCATTTAAATAAAAATACGAGTTTCCATTATTTCTAATTTGACTTTAGTTTATCGTCCCTGTCCAGACGGCGCCTATTGCACGATCCACGTCTGCCATACCCTAGACATGCCACTGCACATGCATCAGGTGCACATGCATCAAATACAGGTGCGCCCGTTCAAACGCTTTGTAATCAGGAACTCATCATAGTGAGCAATATTGGTAACCCACAAATATTTAGACGCCAAGAAGTTTTTAATTTTTATATTCATTTTCAAGTACCCTTGGAACTACCAATGCTAGTGAAAATAAACCCAATGGAATCTTATCCCCCAGAGACAATTTAACAAATTACAAAATAAGAGTCTTTTGGTTAGCACTGTTATCTTCAACTGCGGAAATAAGAGGGAGAAATGAACGAGAAAGCAGAATCTGATTCCAACATATTATAAGTCTCTTCAGTGAAATGCAACTTTTATCTTTTGTTGTCATTATAAACTAGTATGAAAACCGAACCTTATTAGCGTCCTCTCTCAGATTCCTTGGATGTCCATTGCTTGATCTTGCTACGTTATTATTACATGATTCTTCATTCGCGAGATGGCGCTCACGTCTCAAGTTTAGCATGGGTAATCGAGCTGTCATGAGACGAACGTATGACCAGGATATTATGAAGAATGGGACGATGAATCTGTGGAGTATAAAGTACATTACACCTCCTGAAGTATGCGCACCAAGATGGCGCACAACCTGAACTCAGATTGTGTACCAGGTTAGGATTCAGGTTGTGCGACATCTTGTTGCGCAAACTTCAGGAGTACCGTACATTGTGTATATAAATAACATAGACGTAAACAAGAATTTTCAAAGGGGGAAGATCTGAAATTTGTAATTGCCGAGTTAGACCATATCAGCTAGCAGGAGCGTCCGGAAAACGAGAGTCTTGAGGGTAAGGATAAGGATAAGGATTTACATATTTATCCCGGAGGAGAGGAAAGCCGATAAAATGGCTTAATCATATGGCGAACCACGGCTTCTCGTTCGGTTACCAGTCCAGGTCGGGTATGGGATTAGCTAGCAAGGTATTAGCAAGGTATTTGTTTTCGGAAGCATGGACTTGATGGCGGAGAAATCTGTAAATGGATAGGATAGGATTTACATATTTATCCCGGAGAGAGGATAGCCGATAAAACGGTTTAACCATATGGCGAACCACGGCTTCTCGTCCGGTTACGGGATTAGTTAGCCAGTTATTTGTTTTCGGAAGCATGGACTTGATGGTGGAGGAATCCGTAACCGACCAGCGGTTACGTGAACCACGCTACGACAGCAAGGAGTCTAGCAATCTTCTCGCACATGATCATCCCCGCATGGGATTCGAACCTGCGATCCCACGAAGGGTAATCAGAGATGCGGTGGCGAGCGTATTCCTAACGCTTAGCACGATGCGCCACACCGCCGAGCCAAAGGGGGGTTCCTACCTTACCCCTTGGCTACGCCCCTGATAAATAAGGCATCATCGTGCATTAAAAGTCGTATTTTTGATCTTCCCCTCTTCGGGGGTCATAAACGTCTACCAGTCCATATCGGGTACGGGATTAGTTAACCAGTTATTTGTTTTAACGTGCATGGACTTGATAGTGGACAAAGCCGTAACCGACCAGCGATTACGTGAACAATCCTATGGTAGCGAGGAGTACAAAATCCTCTCGCACATAATTAACGCCGCGTGGGCGAGTTTTTGACGTATAGTTTACCGAATTATTACGTGGGAGTCAAATTGGTTGACTAGATTATTGACAACTCTGAGTCATGATTACTTTGTTTGTGCTCTCTTTATCTCTGCTAATTAACCTGCATAAAATCCATCTTGATGATGGGACGAAAATACTTGCTCCAGGTGAGGCTCGAACTCACAACCTCCGCATCACTCCGTATCTGTCTTATAAGTACGGCGCGCTAACCGATTGCGCCACTGGAGCCGCCTGAGCCCGAAGCGCGCTGATTATCCTCAACACCAAAAAATGTTCTTATAGCGAAGAGTTCCAAATGACATCAGAAAATAACTTGAGAAAACGAAAAATTTTGCCACTGAAGCCGTACGAACCACGCAACTATCCGGTTTACAAAGTAAAGCATTCGCCTCCAAATTTCCAGTACTTAGAGATGAAAGTGTTTTCGAGAAGGCGATGACTTTCAATTTTTCATTTAATATTTTCTCTTCAGGTTCTGCGTAAGTTTCATATGATGGTTTTATAATTTGACTTTCGCGTATATTAGAACATTGCTCTCTTGCGTTAAAGTTAACGGCAAAGCAGAATTACAAATTCGTTGGAGTCGGAAGTGAATTGGACTTGAATTTTTGATCTTCCCCGATAAACGTTTACATTCAATAGCGGGAAATGAGAGTTCATTAAATTTTAACATGAACGACAAAAAAAATTTGGGGTTTGAAAATTGGGTACTCCCGTAGCATTTGAACCAAGATGACGGACACCGGATCATAGCATCTGTACCAGGTTAGGGTTAGGCCATAATTTTATTCCAATTTTCCTTAATTTAGTTCTCTTGTGAATTTGGGGACTAGGCAAGTGACGCATGTAGTATCTTTACCTGAAATTATGGCCTAACCCTAACCTGGTACACATACTATGTTCCGCATCGAAAATTGTTCATTCCGAAAATTGGTAGTCTACTGTAATTTTCATAGAATAAGCTAGGTTAGGTCTACATTATTGATAACTCGGAGTGATAATTACTATGCTTGTGCTCGTTTCACGTCTGCTAATTATGCAGTATAAAATCATCTTGGTGATGGGACGTATAAGTACGCAGCTAGTATACGCAGTAAGTATAAGTACGCGCTAACCGATTGCGCCACTGGAGCAGGTGTTCGCGGTAAGAGATCGTCGGTTTTATTAATCAACGGAAAAATCATGTTCCGACAATATTCGAATCAAGTGTCTCAGCGTGAAAGTAAGGCGCGCTAACCGATTTCGCCATTAGAGCACCTCCAGTGTCATCGACATGGAGGAAGTCAACGAAAAAATAGTTTTACTTGGTTGACCAAGGACACGGATCACACACTACCAGTTTTATTACCATTAGCCTTATCTTGATGACACGGAAATAATAAAATTTGAAATTTTAAGCAGACGTCTGTGATGTCTTTTGTGATTGGCGATTGGAGAATAATAAAACTGCTCCAGGTGAGGCTCGAACTCACAACCTCCGCACTGCTCCGCATCTGTCATATAAGTACGGCGCGCTAACCGATTGCGCCACTGGAGCCGCTCTCTCCAAACAGCGTTGTGAACAATCTGCCACTGATGTTGAGGTTACAAACAGTAATGAACAAATAAGTTGCTCCAGGTGAGGCTCGAACTCACAACCTCCGCATTGCTCCGCATCTGTCATATAAGTACGGCGCGCTAACCGATTGCGCCACTGGAGCCGTGGCGACGGACGGACATTATTTATTCATAGTCGTAGGAGAAATGGGGGAAATCTTCCCAAGTGAGACTCAAAACCAGAACCTCTGGAATGCCCCGAAAATACGACTGGCTACCCCCTTGCGCCAATATAACTTGACCTTTTTCTATTTCTTGTAGATTGATTTATATTAAGTATATATAATATATATATATATGCCCAATCGAAAAGATTTCGGATGAACCGCAACCTTGTTTTGAGCAAACCTGTAACTCAATAAAAATCACATACCCAATTATGAAGTTCCATATGAGCCAGGCGTGCATGCTAGGAACGTGTGGGTGCTTGCAAGTTACTGATCCTTCCAAGTCAATAGGGATTCCGAGTTCTTCATCAATGAAGTCGATATAATCGTCCACAGAGCTTGACCCTTCACCCTGTATTAAGGAAGCAGGAAATGACTGTGTGATTTTTACAGCTGGAATTGTTTAAATCAATTGATGACTTGTAAGTATTTATCCCAGTAGAAAGAAAATTAACGAGACGGTTTAAAATAAATAACTAGTAATTTAATTCTAATATCAAAAGATTTTAGAAGATTCAGCCTCAATATGGCGGTTACAGGAATTTAAGCCATAAAATCTCACAATATGCCTAGCCCTGATATAAAAACGAAAAAAAACACAGAAAGACCACGGGAAAGATATCTTGTAACAAGTAAACTAGAATTCGGTTGGAAACCGAAGATTTATCGACCGAAGGTTAGGGGATTCCCCAAAACAGTGGTCTTACTTCATAGTGACACCGTGTGTCCCATCACTAATTAATTAATATCTCGCTAATTATAAAATTTGGAGCAGATTGAACCTCGCTTCCGTGAGATATCGCGTACATCTAACAGACAAACAAACAAACAAATACCTATCAACATACTTACCGATCTTAAGATCGATAAGTAAATACTAACTAAATACCGTGTTTCGTCGAAAATAAGACCTAACCTGATTTTTTAAAATTATTTTAAAATAAACCCTTACCTTAAAATAAGACCGATTTATTATAAGTGAATGGATATCGGTTTTCATATTTTGTATATTTGAAAATATCGTAATTCTCAACTTTGTAATTTTGTTTTTGATAAATAAAAATAAAAGACATCCCCCAAAAATGAACCCTGATGTTATTGTTTGAAGGAAAATTAACATTAGACCTTGTTGTGTTTTTGAACGAACACGGTATAGAAGCGTCGGTGTCAAAACTTGAAACGAACTACCAAATAGAAATTATAGGAAGATTGAAAATGTTGCTAATAACTAAGGCTGGACATTTCGAATCGAATCGAATAGTAAATTATTCGAATCAGTTCAGAGCAATATTTCAAATCGCCGCCATCTTGTTTTTTTCCTTACCGCCAATGGTCGACGTGAATTCCTTAATTTTTTTTTTATATCGGAGCCATTTTTTTTCGATGCAATTCTGACATATGACTTTTTTCTGTAGTGAGTTATTGATAAAACGTGTTTCTTATTGTGTGTGAACGATCAGCAATCTGTCTGAGTGATGTATTTTACGTTTTCAGTAATTCATATGTTGAAAGGACCAATTACAATAAAAAAAAATTGCATACAATTACATATCTTCCAAATATTCGAGATTCGATTCGAAAAAAATATTCGATTCGATTCTGAAATCATCAAGTATTCGAAAATGCCCAGCCCTATTAATATAGCATGTGATTTTTACAGGATTATTTTGATACATTCGTTGATTGTTTTTGTCAGATTGTCATAAATACAGGGTGATCACAAGTAAAGCAGAAAATTTGAAGGTCAAATGAGATCTCGAATAAATTTCGTGCTTACCTATTTATTTTTCGATATGTTTTTATTTGTTTTAGGTTCTAGTTTGTTTTAGGTCGATACCTTAGGTTTCATTTGATTTCTATGTTGACAACACATCATGTAAGAAGGCACGAAACAGCTTTAAATGCCTTGGAAACAGCTCTAATGCCTTGTAAAAGTTATTCTTTGTAAAAATATATAACTCTTTGGCAGATTTTCGGTTTTTCTAGCGACCATCCTGTACCACTATATCAAATGTCTAATTTGTCTCTTCTATTCGACTTATGCTAGCAATATTTACCTCAAAAGATTCAACACTTTTACTCTCTATCAAATCCGAGTCAGCACCTTCGTAATCATCCCCGGTAAATATGTAATGCTCAACACATTCCACTTCTTCTAAAGCTTCCAAGAAAGCAGAAGAATTGTGAACGAATGTCTGAAATAGAATCAGTGTTTCAGAACTTGTTGCAAATTTATTTGAATGTTATCCAAAACAGGGCTTTCCAAAGTGGGGGTTGACAGTCCGCAGCGGGATGACAAACGAAATTTGGGAGTCGCAAGACTTACACCAATTTCACACAAAGTACTATATTATATTTAATAAAATAAATTAGACTTCTGATTCGAAATACATTTATTAAAACCAGTGCGGAACCTAAATCTCAAGCTTTCGAGACAATGCATAGGATCAGATAAGCGGCGCACTTACATAATATTGCTGAATTTGATCGTTAAGACCCGATAAGCTGCCCGCTACTCGGAAAAAGCGATCGCGGAAAATTTCAATATATTGGAATGGGGTTGTGAGCATAAAAGTCTGGGAAGCCTTGATCTACAGCACGTATCCTCAACCAAGGTTAAAATATAACCATTGGGAGTAAAATTTACTAATTTCGGAGGTTTTGCAAGCACGTGTGTACAATCTCTCAGTCACTCTGGGTGAGGCGTATTTCCCTTTACAGAATATTCCTAGAAGGACTTGTCAATAGCAGCGAGTCCTACATTTGCATATAAGTTGGCGTTTAATGATGCGCGCCAAATATAATATTTATAGCAGATTGATCGGAGGTTGGAAGTTTATGTATTGCATGCTATTCACTTTAAAAATTATCTTTTATTCATTAAAAAACGCACCAGTATGTACTCTGATACCCTATGGTCAATTTAAACCAGCGCAAGCTACAGTGGCGCAATCGGTTAGCGCGCCGTACTTATATGACAGCTACGGAGTGATGCGGAGGTTGTGAGTTCGAGCCTCACCTGGAGCAATTTTTTCAATACCACCATACTTTTGCATATGATTATTACTACGCAAGGTAATTACAGCAGGCGCAATGGCAAGAGTGTCTGTAACGCACAACACGATGCGCCAACAATGAGACAAGCAGTCAGACAGACCGACAAATATATTTAGAGCTAACCGGTTCTCTCGGGATCACAATATTGCAAAATTACCTTTGCTGTATTTTTAGATAATCAGTTAGACAGACAGACGGACATTCAGACAGACACACAAATAAAACTATGTCTTACCGGTCCTCTCAGGAACAAGATTCTGCAAAATTACTTTCGCTGTATTTTTAGATAGTTAGGTAGACAGACAGACAAACGGACATCTAGACAGACGAACAAATAGAACAATGGCTTACCGGTCCTCTCGGAAACATGATGCTACAGAAGCCATGGTCATCAACGCCGGCAAAAACAAGAAGAGGGACGACCGCACCGATTGCTAAGCACCATAGAACTACAGAGAGAATGCACATGTACTTTCGAGCCTTTGAACGGTTGAGAAAACTGGGGTGGGAGACCACGATATACCTGAAATATAACCAAATACAAAAGTAAAAAATTATATATATCTCAGACTTAGACTATCCAATTATCCACGTAGCAACAAAAGTGCGGACAGAACAGATTCATCCAAAAAATTGTGACATTTACGCAAAGCCAGAAATTCTTATAGTTATGAAACCATTTGAAAGCAAGCATTTGAGATATCGGCTCGGAACAAAATGGTCAAGTAACTGGAATTCTATAAATCGGCGTATCCCGGAAAACTATCGGCATCAAATTTCCGACTCTATGCAACGTAGAAGATTTAATACTGTGATTCAATACAAAACTCCTGCTGTCACAGATAGAGGGAGCACAAATAACTTGGCTAGTGTAATTTGACTCTCGAGGTTTGACTCATCGTTCTGAGCGCTTGTCACTGATTACATTGCAAGAGTTCGCAGGTTTCGAATTCCGTGCGGAATAATTATGTGAGAGCCAATTGCTGACTCTCGTGAACGTGGCGTGATTCATGTGAACGATGTTCAACCACGTTTCTTTACCATCATGTCCATGCATCTGAAATAAATAGCTGGATAACTAATGCCACACCCGACATGGGATGGCAACCGGACGAGAAGCCGTGGTTCGCCATATGATTATCATCACAATGAATAAAATTTACAAAATTATTCCGTTTTATTGCTATTCTCTTCCTCGGGATAAATATGTAAATCATATCCTATCCTGAATAACTGGCCAACTGATCTCATACCCGACATGAACTGGTAGCAAGATCAGAAACCATGGTTCGTCATCTGATTGATTCTTCTAATCGACTTGTAGGGACAATAATATCAAGTTGATTGAGTTTCGGTAATTCGGGCAAAACTAGTATTATTAGCTGTAAATCGGGTTTACCTCAGATTCGTTTAATTAATTAGGACTAAACCAGTTGGTCATAACAATTCTTAGTTATTGTGCGTCATTCGCGTCGCAGACCATAGCCCGATGACAAAACATATTGTTTTGATCGGACAATATAGATTAAAGCTCATGCCGTCTTTGATAGTACATTAAATTAGGGACTCAAATTAATTTATATAAGCACGTCATGGTTGTATTAAAAAAATAAGACGGGAGTGTCAAGTCAGAAAGTAATAGTATTTATCCGTAAGACACTGGAGAATTGTAACGATCAAGACATCGAGCTAAGGATTGGACCGCTTCCATCAGCCTTCCCTACACAACGCCAAATATTAAAATAAAGGCTACAGACTCTCTTCACCCTGGAATAAATACAAAAATCCCATCCTACCTGTCTACTGCCATAGCGGTTATGAAGAACACTGATCCATAATAATTAATAAACTTGATCCCTTCGACAAACTTGCACATTCCACTCCCGAAGACCCAGCCTTTGTGCATTCGATGTGAAATTGAAAACGGCAGAGTTAGCAGAAACAGGGTGTCGGCAATTGCTGTAAGACAAAGAAAATTTAGTATCAATTTGACACCGGGATTACGTGAATACTTATTGTACGGTCGCCCCAGGTGCGTGCTAAGCTGGCGCATCGTTCCAGGTTCGAGGGAATGGGGACGTTTTGTAATTGAGTCATACAAGCAGGGGTGTAGCCAGTAATTTTCAAATGAGGGGGGGGGGGGGGGGGTAGGAGGGTTCTGAAATTTTCAATTGCCAAGTTAGGACGTATCAGCTTGCGGGTTTCAGTCGGCGCCCGGAAAACGTAGGTTTTCAAGGCTCTTAAGCAGGGGTTCCCAAACCGCGGCCCAAATATGGCCCGCGTAACGATTTAAATGGCCCGCCGAGCTTACGTGAAATAGTGTTCAACAGATTTTATTTCTACCTTTTTGCGATCTAGATAGCACTAATTTATGTCATTATCAGTGTTCAAGCACGTGTTTCAATTATACCAGTATATCAATTATGGGTCCCGGAGTTAGGATTACATAGGGCAGTAATTTAGGTATCAGCCATATAGGAAAAGATGTCATAAATCTAACGAAAACTAGATTCAGAAAACTAACGTTTCATGGATAAATGGCAGTGTTCGTATTTCTTCATTGAAAAGTATCAAACTTTAGAGATATTAGTCAAACAAACATGTTTGTGAATCCACTTTTGGGCGCTACATTCTTCCGGCCCGCGAACATCTTTCCGATTCTAATTTTGGCCAATAAAGTTTGGGAACCCCTGCTCTTGAAAGTCTAAAAAGGGTACTCCCGTAGTACTCCCCGCGAACAAAGTTAGTTACCTTCATTTTGGTATGCACACTTCTGGAGCGCCCTAAAATGCGTTTCGAGGAACGAAAAATTGCTAGATAAGATATAGAAAAATCGGTACTGCTGAAGTATGCGCACCAAGATGTCACACAACAACTGAGTTCAGGTTGTGCGCCATCTGGGTGCGCATACTTCAGGAGGTTCAAAAAATCAATCTGTCGTTTTGTCACGTCCATCGGCCCATACAAGATTACAATCACCCACTTGTCGCCGCTCCAGTGGCGCAATCGGTTAGCGCGCCGTACTTATATGACAGTTACGGAGTGATGCGGAGGTTGTGAGTTCGAACCTCACCTCGAGCAGTTTTCGTTTGATTTTATTCACTAACTATTTTACCTCTATTTTTATCAGTTATTTGTTTATATCTAGTTGTAACCCAGACATCAGAAACAAGAGCTCTAGAAGTTTATTTTTTGTACTAATGTACAACGCCGACATACAAAAATATATCTTATAGAATTGAAGCATTTGATCACTTTGAATGTCCACAACGGAATTTGACGTTTATTAATCTTGCACGCTAGCAACACGTCAATGGAAAAGTCAAAGACGCAAAGCACGCGTCAATATTGCCAATTGCTGTTTGTTGATGTCGCAATATCTGAGATATAAATCAATGCATTGCAGTGACAATCGAAGGCCGAATTGAGCATGCAGTGTTATTCTGTAATCACTAAATTCTTGATCTATTTCCTTTGAATCCTTTTATCTACTTTCTAAGATTTTTTAACTGCATACGTTCAATATGCTAGACATCCCCATCCCATGTGTAATAAAATGAACAGTTGCTTCGGAAAGATGTCACCTTTCAAAAAAACAAACGGTAGCGAATTTTTCAAAGCGCTGTTTGCGCAAGGCGGCTCCAGTGGCGCAATCGGTTAGCGCGCCGTACTTATATGACAGTTACGGAGTGATGCGGAGGTTGTGAGTTCGATCCTCACCTGGAGCAAATCTGTTTGTTTGAAACTATAAGGATTACCGTCATTAACACTTTCGATGCCAAGGACGTATATATACGTCATTTGGCGCCAACCGTTCCGTGCCATCAATGCAAAATGACGTATATATACGTCATTCGAAAAGGAAAAAGTTTAATAGATAGAAGAAGGTCGAGTTCAGGTATTTGCCGTCTTTTTTCCTTCTCTCTCTCTCTCTTGTTGTCAAGTTGGGGGGAAAGAATGACGTCGTCAGCCAATCGCGTCATTCAAGAAATACCAAGATGGAAGGAGGGTCTGCCATGAAGTAAATTATCAACTTATTTAGCATGGCCGAGGTACATATTAGCCGCAAATTATCATCAAAAATTTGTACGAGACCGACTGACGCCAACACACGGTTTCAACTTTTTACGGTGAAATGATTGAAAGGTGTGAGGAGAGATAATAATATTATAAATCATGTTACGAAGATGTAGAAAAACATTACTAAACCGGGAAATAATTCGAATATTTTTATATGCATGATCGTCGTCTTATTGGCAGGACGATGAAATGATTCAAAATGTTGGTATTTTTGAACGTTTTTTTAATTTTTTATCATTTTTGGGTAACGGATTGACGGACATCTGCAACGAAAGCAAATTTTATCGTCCTGAGAGGTGATATGTTACATTTTGAAATAATAAAGTGAGAAATTGATATTATTCGGAACATATATTTTTCTACTTGTCAGTGAGATATGATCCGAGATATAGTAATTTAGTGGGAAATATATTACCAATAACACAGAGCCCCTCGTATGCTTTCAGCTCATATTGAATTACTTTCGTAGCTATTGTATAACCATAATTATAGCAAAATATGCAATCCTACGACTTTGTGTCGGATGAACAAGTTCAATAAGCAGCCATGGCGTACTGATTACGTAGCTACGCAATAGCGATCACGTGTCTGGCGCCACGAAGACGGGACTACGTGCAGTCGAGACGACTTGCGTAGCAAATCGCGTGAGATGACAATTTCGGAAAATCGTGTTCTTGACAGATCAACTGACGAATTTCGATGAAGCTTTAAACCTTTTTATTATGTCAACTTAGAGACACCGGATGCGTATAATGAATATTGAAATTGCATTTGGCAATACTTCATTTGCACGCCAATATTAGTTCAAATATCCACACAAATAAGTATTTGCTCGCTATAAATACCAGATTGAATGAAATGTTTGCCGAGGCAAGTAAAGACTTCGAATTTCATCGTTTACTGACTGAACCCACGAATCGTTTACTGACTGAACCGATGAAACCATGATTGCATATAAAGGAAGAGTTTCATTCAGAAGATATATGCCAAACAAACCGGTTAAATTGGGCATCATTGCTAGATCGATTGCTGATTCAACAACTGGAGACATTTTCAATGTAAAAATAGATTATGGTAATCCAAACTTGGAACAACTTCCACCCGGCGTCACAAAAACTTCGAATTTAGTTTTGCAACTAATGGAAAGTCGTCTGGATAGAGGATATCACGTATTTGTTGATAGGTATGTTGATTATTCGGTATTGATAAGACAAATTAGATAATTTACGTCTCGGCGCCATACTGCGTTCTATTTTAGATAACGAATCATTGTCGGATATATCAATCAATTGCATAAACTGTTTTATCACAACCAATTTTTAATAATATTCATTTTTAATTTAGACTCTATAACTCTGTCGCATTAACCGAGGAATTGCAGCGAAGGAAAACATCGATAACGGGAACAGTCACGGCAAACCGGAAGGGACTTCAGGCAGAAATAAAAACAAAACTAAAGAAAGGGGAAATCATCTCAATACGAAAAGGACAATTACTCGCACTACTATGGCAAGATAAGAGGCCGATTTCAATACTTTCGACGTATTGTAATGGTGACGAGGTCATAGAGATACATATGTGTTACAGTTGTATGAATATGCAATGTGACTACTTTGTTTATTTTGCAATATGTTATCCTTGTGAGTGACAATAATTGGCCATTATTAATGTTATTGGAATATATAGCGAATGAAGGATATATTTTTATGCTAGTAAACGATTTTGTTTTCTTTGTTCAAATTTGATATTTTCGTATAATAAAATGATTATGATTGCTGAATAAAATGTTCGAATTGAATCTTTATCGCAATGAGAGATCAAGACAAGTTATCATCAACTTATGTTATAATAGCATGAGAGAGCAATTCCGACAAGATACGCGTGTGTAGGTGAGTTCTTTCACCTACGACTGAAGTGTCGGAATGAACGATAACTGATGACACCGCTGGGTTCGCCCCTTTCCCGATGAATCAAAAACTAAATACGAGAGAGAATGAATAGGAGAGAACTCTCTCGTTTTCACCTTGGCACGGAACGGTAAAATTGAAAAAACTGATCTTGGCATCGAAAGTGTTAAAATGTCTTCAACACGATTTGACCTATTTTTTCCAGGATTTGTTTATAGATCTTGCACGCTAGCAACACATCAACGGAAAAGTCAAAAATGCAAAGCACGCGACAATATTGTCAATTGCTCTTTATTTATGTCACAATCTTTAAGATACGAATCAATACATTGAAATTGGGCGGATGCTGATTCCCATACCGGTAGTTGATTGTCCACAGCATCGGGTTGAAGCTGAGGCTCCAGTGGCGCAATCAATTAGCGCGCCGTACTTATACGACAGCTACGGGGTGATGCGAAGGTTGTGAGTTCGAGCCTCACCTGGAGCAATTCTCTTTGTTTATAACTATATTTATAACTATATTTATTACCGTCTTCAAAATATCTTAAACACGATTCGCTATTTTTGTTTCCAATATTTTGTTTTCAAATCTTGCACGCTAACATAACGTCAACGAAAAAGTGAAAGACGCAAAGCGCGCTACGATAATGTCAATTGCTCTTTATTTATGTACTTATCACCAAGATATGATTCAATACATCACAATATCATTCGAAGTACAGCAGAGTATACGCGTCATGATCTACCCTGTTATTGCTCGACTGTTATGTTATGTATGTTTTATTTGGCCTGTTTCATTTATCTTAAGTGGGAATAGGATATATTAGCAAGTGTTGTTGCTTGCTTGTTCTAATCTAACAAAATGGAAGAAAATTTTGTTGCTATATATTTTACGATAACTTTGCTAAAATAAAATGCGGATGTTAAGATATTGCAACAAATTAAAAACAATGGTTCTTTAACGACCTTTTTAAGCATTGAACACTTGAAATTGTTTGGTCGCGGACGAAAGCAATTTTTGCGACACGAACGATATTGAAAGTTTGAATAATTATGCCTACAAGTGTACGTGTAAAATAATCACTCTTTTAGTTTTTGTGTCATTCATTTTATAAATATTAAAACTGCTTAGATTGATGTATTTTTCAACAAATTTAACGAATGGGTTTTTATTGCCTTACACGATATGTCAATTTAATGTATTATGACATTCTACTGTAATACATTAAATAATGGCTTAAATACAGAAAATAACTTTTTAACGAGAAAATCACGCGAACTTTTATGACATAATTTGTGCCATTCATATTATAATTTATGAAAATGCTTATAGTAATGTAATTAACGATCAAATCGCGCGATTTCAATTTTACAGTTTCTATTACATTTTAATGAATTGTATGTTTAGTTAAAACATCATTGATTTTAAGAAATAATTTAACAAGCTTCGTTTAGACATTTTTGTGTCGCTTATTCTTTACCATACAAAATACTTAGAGTAATGTATTTCGCATCAAACTCAACAAAAGGGAATTTTATCACCTCGCACAATACGTCAAACTAATGTATTATGTCATTAAATAATGATATAAACACAGGAAATTGCACGATTTTAAATTTACAGTTTCTATGATATTTTGATGAATGTCATGATTAATCAAAACTTCATTAATTTCAAATAGTTTAACAAGCTTCGTTTAGACATTTTCGTGCGCTTATACGGCAAATACAGAGTGTTATGGAATTTGTAGAAGATGTGAGTTCGAATCTCAACTGGAGTATATCTCGCAATAATTGGAAAAAAAACGAGAATAATTTCACTTCGTATGCACTAATCACGATTTTAGTTTTAATGTCGCTTATTTTATAATTTAGAAAACTGCTCAGAGTAATGTATTTCACAGCAAGTTTTACGAAAAGAGCTGAAAAATTTTTGATCGCCTTACACGATATGTCAATTTGTTTTGTTATGATATTTTACTATAATACATTAAATAATGACTTAAAACAGAACACAAATAATTTAAAAGAAAATCACGCGATTTTTCAATCGTTATTGTGACATTTTAATAAATTGCTGATTGAAAATGATTAGTTAAAACATCTTTAATTTTGAGAAATAATTCATAAAGATTCGTTCAACGATTTTCGTATAAATTACGTCATTGATGAGTCTATTTGCGTGATGTATTACGTCACTAATGATTCTTTTGGCGTGATATTATGTCACCGATGTTATTATTTGCGTGACCGATGTTATTAATAAATGATAAATTTCCCGCTAGTGACAATATTATAATACATTTAAACTTGATTGTTAGTACACATCATGTATATCAATCCTAAAAGTAGAAGTATAAGATCTTTTGTACAAAACCCCGCCAACGCTAAAAATAAGGAAATAGTAATTTCCAAGATGCGTTTAGCTTATAGCAATGTAGATTGCGTTAGAAATTTAAATTTTAAATCATTTTTAAAGGTCAACCCTAACCGCAAATGGAAAATTACTTGTTTGGTATTTTAAAACGTGGCGGATTTCCTTTGCTCAAATCTCACAGTGTTTGCAATAATAGCGAGGGCTTTGTACAAGACCGCATGCTACTAAAATTATTTGAAATTTATTTTTACTTATTATTTTACTTATTATTAATTCTTGCGACTGCATCCTTGCAGTCAGCGCACACGAACCCACTAACACAGCGGTAAGGAGAAAAGAACACGCTCTTACAATTATTCATTACTTTTATAGTTTTACTTCAGAAATCGAAAATCGCGAAAGTAATCAAAGTAACTAGCAATCAATGTCTGATATATTACCGTAATTGATTACCGGATATTTGACCAATTCAAAGAACACCAACGAGCTTCAAGACGCTTTTCAAGCCTTATAAAGGGATAATATGACACGATTAAGACGCGGAAACTTACTAGGATAATATTTTGAAGAGTTCACTGAAACCGAAAATATAAGGAGAGACTTTTAGCTCCTGAAATATAGAGTGTCCATAAAGTCCCTTTACAATTTCAATTTTGTTATGAAGTAAGGTCTGAATATATCTTAACCAGGTTTGTTGTTTTTAATTAGTAATTGTGTGAGTATTCCTACTTCATTTAATACATCTGTGAGGGCCAAAACAATATATGGTATCGATAAATTACCTTTGCAATTTTAAAGACTACATGGACGCCAAATTCTTATATTTTTAATTAATGTGAAACTGATGATAAACTATTTTTGTTGGTGATTGTACTGCAATCTGTAACCACTTGTCTATATGGAAACTTTTGGATAATTTGTCTTCAGATAAAAACCGACACGGGCGACTCTCCTTTAGTACTTTTTTGGGTACTCCCGCAGTATGTGAACCAAGATGGCGGACACCGGAACGTAGTATGTGTACCAGGTTAGAGTCAGGCGATAATTTTTTTCCAATTTTCTTTATTTCAGTCCTATTATCAGTTCGAAGACTAGCCAAGAGCCTCCCGTAGTATTTATACCTAAAATTATGGCCTAACCCTAACCTAGTACACATATTACATTCCGCCATCTTGGTTCGCATACTTCGGGAGCCCCCTTTTTTGGGTACTCCTGCAGTATGTGAACCAAGATGGCGGACACCGGAACGTAGTATGTGTACCAGGTTAAAGTTAGGCCATAATTTTATTCCAATGTTCTTTATTTTAGTTCCATTACGAGTTCGGGGACTAGCTAAGTGACTCGCGTAATATTTGTACTTGAAATTATGGCCTAACCATAATCTGGTAGACATACTACGTTCCAGTGTTCGCCATCTTGGTTCACATACTTCGAAAGTAATCTTTTTTACCACCGTAACCATCTTTCACTCACGTACCTACATACTCTTTCTCAAACCATATTATGATCTTGTGATTAAATAGTCGTTGGTTAGTTTAATTTAACTTTGAAGTTTTAATTATGCAAAGCACGCAAATACAAAACCAGTACAAAACAAATACAAAACTCTTGAGCAAGGAACACCTCTTTTAAAGTTAATTTACGATTTTTTTTAGCGTACTCTCCGACATAAAAAAAACACAAGGATGTTCTGTACAAAGCTCGCCATCAATGAAAAATTGTGAGATTTGATGAAAATGCCACTTTTTAAAATAACAAATCAGTAATTATTCAGCTAGGGTTGGGGTTGACGTTAGGAATGATTTAAAAACTTTGAGTTTTCAGCGCAATCTGTATTCCTAACCATCGCATCTCATCTGTTCCTGGATAATTACTAATTTTATTTTAATTTAAGCGGTGGCGGGAGCGTTCTCTTGGCGGAGTTCAAAAGTTCAAAACAAAGTACTTTTCGGACTGTGGCTACCGGTATCAAAAAACCTCTAAGTTTTGGGTCAAATCGGAAACAGACAGGATCACGCTCAATACAGCGGAATTTCAAATGAAATACAGATGTCATAGAATTCATAAAACTTGAAAACAAATAAAAGCAGGCTTTGATTACTGACAATCTCAAAACAATTGGTCCAGTAGGTAAAGAGAAAAGTGATTTTTTTTTACAACAAAGCGAAGAAAGAGAAAAAAACATCTTTACGTCACTCACCCAAATTCATGATCAATATCGTCGACGGTGCTTTGAAAGTCGCTCCCTTGCGCCCTCCAGTAAGAAGTAGGAACATTACGACAGCATTCGCTATCAGACCTATTGAACAGATAAGTCCATAAGCAGCCGACACTGCAATCTGGCGATCTTGAGACGATTTAGAAAACTTATCCAAAAAATCATCAGGAAATGGTGTGCAATTACCGCCATCGCTTTGATTTATTAATTGCATTAAATAGTCTCCAAAGTCATTGTAGTCCAGCATGGGAGCCTCTGTCATTGTATAGTTTATTAATAAATTATGTTCAAGAAACAAAATATACTGTAAAAATATAACTCCACAAGTTTAATCTGTGATTTTAGTACTGTAATAATAGGATGGTAGGCTTAATCATATGGCGAACCATGGGCTCTCGTTCGGTTACCAGTCCATGTCGGGTATGGGATTAATCGAAAGTGTGAATAGTTCCCTTCAACGTGTAGTTGAGTGGATGACCAGTGTTTTTCAATCCACTAGTACAGTTCTGGTGTTCCGCAAGTTTACATGGAAATCCAATAGTCTGTATTGTTATATGTAGATCAGAGTGGTCCAATATTGTGGACCACGCGGGCAACAAAATTATTTTGGCATTGGTCGCGGGCCACAATAGTACCAAGAATAGGTGAATAGTGCAATACAAAACAACCACTTCTATTGTGTAAACACATAGTTATCAGGCATTGCCAACCTAGGCTAATGGAATCCGCATCCAATTTTCAGTTTTCTATCATGTCTATATTGTTAGCATATATTTCCGACCAAAACGATAGAATTCCAGGTGACAATTTAGACTGCTCATCACATCTTCAACTTCGCTATTGCTTCAGCTAGCCATCATACTAGTCAATTCAGTCACAGTAGTGATATAACAACAATATGTCAAACGATTTTTCTGATTTATTCCATGAGAAGCAATTTAAAATACGATATTTTGATTACTCTTCGAATGCGGCGCGGGCCACAGATAATGGAGCGACGGGCCACATGTGGCCCGCGGGCCTGGGTTTGGACCACCCTGATGTAATTGGTGTTCAAATGTAACCAAATATCTTTTAGGTTTGCCACAATTATTAAACTTGCAACACATTGATGATCATTTTGTTCTACCAATATTAGGTTTGCTCTTATAAATATTTATCTATAGTTCATACATTTCAGGCAATAAAAGTCAATTAAACTATTGAACATGAGTTCCTAGATCCTCTGGAATGTTTCATTGTGGTCGTGCCCTTCAAAACGGTTGAAAACTACTACTAGAGATCTCCAAACATTTTAAACATACGAGGCACTTCATTCCTGCAATAGTAATTACGGCCAAATTTCAATTCATCCGCATTGCGACAAGACTAAGTTTTATAATATATGAACATTTAATCGGAGAGTGTATCTTATCGCATAAATGCGGCTCAATTTCAAATATCGACAATTCGTACATACCTTTTGACGTTAATATTCGATCGATATTTGATCGTTTCTAACAACTTCTCAACGCGTCCAAATAAAATTAATTTCTAAGAAATTGATTGATATTTTGCGACGCACTTTAAATGATCTCACGACACACTAATGAGTCGCATCGCTCAGTTTATGAACCGTTAGGCTAAAGGCATTTAAAATCATAAAAAAAACAAGCCTGAACCTGACATAACACTTGATTGATATAATTCACATCTTTCGTGACTGCTTTAAAAATCAAACTCGGCGCCTACATGAAAGCTCGATAGCCCACTGCGAAGGAGGCTTTTAAAATACCGATTCGGACAATATATTCATCTTCATTCCTAACGTACTGTCTATACAGGGGTGGGCAACATACGGCCCACAGGCCGTGTGCGGCCCGCGAAGATATTTTGACCGGCCCCGCTGACTGTATCCAATCACACTCTGTAATGTGGTCCGACGCATTGAAAGTTGCCCATCGCTCTACTCTCACCGCACTGTCAGTGCGAGCTGGTGAAATAAACAATTGCCTTAGTGAACAAACAATTGCGTTAGCACACTTGTTAAACAAACAATATAAGGTCAAAGTAGAGAGCGTTGTAAACATTCCCCACAACTGTTATCAGTTATATTTAGATTCTAAATATAAATAGATTTTAGAAATTAAATTTTATAGTAAGTTTTATTAACCATGGGATATCGCAAGAAAAGTAAAGTTGACAAAGAGTGTCGAGCATTTAACAAAGATTGGATACCGAAGTATTTTTGGTAATAATCTGACCCGCCGAGGGCTTTATTTTTTCACATCTGGCCCGCCGAATAGAGAAGTTGCCCACCTCTGGTCTAGACTCTAGAGCAGCGGTTCTCAACCGGGGGCCCTCGGCCCCCTAAGGGGACCACAGAGGAGTTGGAGGGGGGCCACAAGGATGGGCTGAAATCTGAATTTACTTTTCACTTTAAAAAAAATCTCACAGTTTTTCCTAGTTTGCTCCTCAACAAGGTTATTTCGCAGAGTATTTTTGCTCTCTTTTGTGCAAATTGTTTTAACATAATGGGATTTGGAATCTATCAATGAAAATAACCCTATTAATACCTCTGGAATATTAAAGTGGGGGCTATGAGTGCTAAAAGCCTCCGAAAGGGGGCCACGAGTCATAAAAGGTTGAGAACCACTGGTCTAGAGGATAGCCCAATAGCCCTCAATAGAGAGAGAGCCACATTCTTCGTGTAACCATATGAAGAAGTAATAAATGAAATAAAATAACTTAAGGTAATGAAACAATGATTCGAAAAAAACAACCCTGGTTAGGATATATTAAGAACTGAGTGAAAACTGAACTGACTTCATAAAAACATTTTGAAGTTGTAACAGAAATTTATAAACACATTATTCGGCGGACCAGAAGTGTGTGTACCAATATGAAGGTAATTAATTTTATTCGCCTACTTTACATCACGTTGTGTAAAGAGACTGAAACCTATGGACAGGGAGTATATTCAATTGGCTAACACAGACAGTCCCCGAACTCATAAAAGAACTAAAAATAAGGAAAATCGGAATAAAATTATAGCCCAACTTCAACCTGGTATACACACTACGGGAGTACCCATTATATAGCAAAACAACTAATTTCGGTGGTCGCATTACTATTCGTCTGTAGGCGCAAAATGCACCAACCCCATGTTTGTATTGTACATACACTTAAAGTAGTTTAAACAACTTTAATCCATTAAAAATTGCAATCACCTGGTTGGGGTCGTGACCTTTTCAAAAATTCAACTGATTAACCCGGGAGATAAATTTCGTTTTATACGATACCTTCATGCTTGGTCAATTAAAAAATTTGTTACGTTTTTTCCGCGGGCCATGTTTGACAAAGATCTATTTCGATTTGTGTAATTTAATTGTTTTGAAAACGGAATCCACGTTTGACCTTGAGTTCGAAAAAAATTCCTTGCTTTATGACGACATCAGAAAATTTAAAATTTACTGCACTGCTTCAATTTTAAACACTTTTGTATAAATAGAATTTGTACTCCTGACAAGACTGAAGACAAGCGATTTTGAAGATAAAAATACTGGCTATTCGGCTACAAATAGGGATCATAAATTTAACCAATAAATTTAACCAATAAATACCACACACACAAAAATGAAAAAAACACGACTTTTACGTTTCTAACTAAGAACAAATAAATACACATGGAAATATGAATCGGGTATCTTATCTCTAAATCTTAGCAGATGCTTGAATTGAATAACAAAATTCTCTGCTATCATTTTTGTATTATTTTGTAACAATTAGTATTACAGCGTAATATTTGGAAGCATTTATTTTGCCTAAGTAAAGCCACAGTTTCAAAACTGGCTGATGGCAAATACGCACAAGTTTCTCATTTTGAAGTAAATTGTTATTTAAAAAAGATTATTTTGTCCTAATAATTTAATTTCTCGGTCATAAGGGCACAACATGTGGTTTATTATTTGAGCATATCCCAACGGTAGGCCGCATGCGGCTCGCGAACGATTTTGCGCAGCTCTTCTCGCTAACGTTAATTATTATCCGAATTGATTTAAAAGAAACTGTTAATGTAACAGATTTTTTAAATTTTCTTAAGCGCTCGAAGAAGTTTTCATCAATGATTAAGACAAATTATGTTTAAGTATGAAAATCGTCGTAGCGTGGAATTTTAAATTTGGATCAGTCAAGCGACAAACATTACGTCACAATGTTCGAATCAATTGCTAGATTCGATGTCTTCCTTTTTTTTTATGTGTGTTTACTATTTTGCATTGTTTCTTGCACGATGAAAATAAATATCTGAATCTGAATGTTTGTTACTCCGTTGGTGGTTTTGCAACTTGATCGCCGTAAGTCTCAGTTACAGTGCGTTATGTTCCGCACTGCATTGGTTACGTATCGCCCAGACTATCAAAAACTTACAAATAGGATAGAAATACACAAGTCAACTACTTCTAACACGACCTCGCAATAAATACTTTATAATATATTTCATTTATTGGACACGTTTAGTGGCCATAACGATCGTTTCAAAATTTTGTTGTTATTGTTATTTGTCTCCGTCTCCATTTTTAAAAAATCGCCTTTCTCTTCGAATACTGGACCAATTGCTTTGATATTTTCAGTGGTTAAGGATAAAATTTTTCTCCAGAAGGGTATTACTTTTTTTTCCGCTATGACGTCATCAAAATTATTGCCACTTGGTGGCGTTACGTGTCCATATATTTGAGCATAGCTCTCTTGTTGTTGTTAGACGATTGTGTAAAATTCTTTTCTGTTCACGGTATTCTAATATTAATAATTTTAGGATTTATGCGGCTCTCCCATATTTTTGACTTGCCACGTGCGGCTTATACCAAAAAAAAACTGCCCGCCCCTGGCATATTCTTTAGTCCGAGGTTTCACAAAATTTATTTTTTGAAGAAAGGTTAGGAACCACTTGGTTAAACTCTTGAAGCTCTTAAAAATTTCAGAAATTAATTTCTAATTGTTTTTGGCGTATGTCCATCCGGCAACCTAAAAAATAAAACATCAAATACAAAGCGCCAACAAGTTCGTTGGCCAGATCAATCATTGGCGCAAGAATTCTAATCCAACTAGAGCTGCGTGCAGCTTTATCAGGCTTCCCGCGTAAAAAAAAATTTGCATTTTATTGCTAGCTGAGAACTTCTGCACATTTGAGGTGAATTTCAAGTTTGTAGGACCAATTTGAAAAAATAATAATAATAAATAAATATTAATAATAATAAAACACAGGAATACAATAGGTTCCCTGCTGACAAGCAGCGGGAAGCCTAATTA